AAAAAAAAAAAAAAAAAAGCCTTTTTTGGAGCTAAGATCCTTCTGCATTTTTATGATTTCAATGCTATTCAGAAAGCAGGTATCTCATACATCACTTCAGTAAAGTTCACCAAAACCCATCCTGGCAATTACTTTAGATCATCAAGGAAAATTAAAAAGAAGAACAAAGGTCTTCAAAAGCCTGCAGTGGGCTAGCAGGTGAGCGGCAGCTTCGCTCTGACGGTGCCCGGATTAGCAAAGATCAGAACAGGACTCCGCCTTCTCCAGGAAGCGACTGCTGGGCCCTGGATGCTAGGCTGTGTCTGAAATCCCAGTTGTCCTTCTTCTTCCCTTGCCTATTCTGCACCGTTCCTGTTCCTTGCAATCATTTCCGGGTTTTAAACTACTGCTTTCCTAAAAGTCGTGTTGCACTTCGTTGAGCATTCTCCGTCAGATTTAGCTGTTTGAAGGCAAAAAGATGCCTGTCTGGGGAGGAGCAGGCGTGAGATTTTGTCCAGCCAGCAGAGGGCGCGCCAGGCCCAGTCAGGACCGTACCCCGCCCCCACCCCCACCCCCCCACGCTTTCCTGGGACCGCGTCTCATATTCTGGTGTAGTTCAATGCTACTGCACCCGCTTTGCGTATGCAAGGCCTTGGGGCCAATCCCCAGCACCATAAAAAGAAAAAACAATCTGGCACCTTTCTTAAAAAGATTGTCTTAAATGCCATGTCGGCTACAACTCGTTTGTGCTTAAATTGACAAAATAGCCCCACCCGTCAAACCGTCAGTTACAGTGCGCAAAGACTGTCATCAGGAGCGTCAGCCTCCGCCTGAGCCGTAGCCCTCCTGTCGGCCCACGGGAGGCTTTTTACAAACCTCCCTCCCACACAGAAAGGTTTTTAAATTTCAAGAATCTGTGGCTGATCCTTTGGTTGGACAAGAGCAAGTAAATATTGATCTTAAACAAGTGAGTCAACAGCCCCAGCAGTGCTGGCCGGTGTACCTTTAGGAAGGAGGCAAGTGGATTTATCAGGCATCGTATGTTCGGATGCAGCTCAGCACTTAGCTAAGGGGTTTTTTGGAGGAAATATTTGGTCTCCAGCACACACGCTTACATACAAAGGATTAGTTTCATTCCTTCCGTATGACCAAAGCTTTACCTCAGATCCAGTGGGCAAGAGAACTGTGAATCCACCTCTCCTGGCCTAGTGTAAAATGTCTCCCTCTTGGAGTAAACAGTTACTAAATGCCTTCTGCATTAATCAAAACACAACTGGCATTTCATGTTTAAAAAGACCAAAAAGAAAAATGAGAACCATCTGCCACTGTTCCCAGCTCTCAGGGCTTGGTGGATCGGAGAACACTGCAGTCGGCTCCTCTCTTCAGCTACTCAAAGACTGAATTCTAACGGCCGCGGAAAATGCTGACTCACCCATGACTAAGTTGAAGGTTACAGGGAAGACTAAACATTTATTTAGAAGTTACAGTGTTTGTTTTTACAGAGATATGTTGCCACAGATTATTGATTCTGGAAGGTTTGTTAATGCTTACGGCGCTGTACATGTCTGAGTCTGTTCACGTGGCATCTAGACAGCACGGCCTTTGCCACCAGCCCCCGCCGTCTCCCGGGGAGTCTCCAGTTCCTGATGCCCTGGCCCTTGCTTTTCACTGGTGCTCTTCACAAACAGTGCGCTGGGGTTCCGCCTTCCATGAGCTCGTATGTGGGCGTCCCGCGGCCCCCAGGCAGTGTGCGGAGGCCGCATCCCGGTCCGCGGGACTCTTTCTTGGTTGACTCCTGTTATGTTGCAGCTTGTTTCCCCTTTCGTACATCAACAGGGAAGACTCCTCAGGTCGCTCCAGAATTATAAAAACACATATACATTTATTTACAAGTGCATAAATATATAAATATGGCTATAATAGAAAAATAAATACCGATTTTCTCTGTCTCTTTAAAAAAACACACACATACAATATAGTCTTTCTAGGATATTGGCCTAAATTGTGGGAGGTGGTGTTTCAAAAGACACATGCACTGTCGGGCTGGAGGAGAGCCGCACCCCAGGTTCCTGTCCTACGTAGGGCCCTGAGGGGTTCTGGGGACACCAGCTTCTTCCGCCCACTTGGCAGGAGTCAGGACTGTCCACTTCTTCAACCGGTACAAGGCCCAAGCAGCAGGGGGGCCCTGAGGGGGAGAGAAATGGGCAAACATTAATATTGAGACCTACTGACAGGCCCTGGGCTAATCTCTGTGGTAGGAAGTGGTTACACTGGTCCTAAGGGAGGGACAGCACCTTACAACCAACGTAGGCATTCATGCCCCCACCAAGGTAGGTCTCTCACTCATGTGGGGAGGGCCCCTTCCTCTCCACATCCTTCCTACCCTGGACGTGGGCCTATACAGTACTCAAGCACTCCACCTGCACCAGGGGCAGATGAAACGGGAGGAGCCCATGGAATGCGGAAGGAGGCCCTGCTCCATCCCAGACTCAGGCTGCCAGTCCACCCTTTGGTGCGGCTCTGGTCAGAAGCTTCCGACTCACAGCGCATTCCCCCTAGCCCAGCCTGGCCCCGTTTTCCTGATGCTGGGTCTGGTTCTAGGAGGTATCTGCTTTCACAATTTAACGTCCCAGAGGCAGAGTGCAAGATCCCCACGGGAAGGGACACCCACACCGCGGAGGTTAAGATACATTGGCCAGTCCTCCAAACTAACCTGTGCCCTAGTGTGTACCCCCGGATTTCCAAGGAAGGTGGCCAGGAGGGGGACAGTGGGCTGGGGGCGGGGCAAATGGCTCTGAGGCTCCAGGAGAAAAAGTTGTGTGGAAACACAGAGCTAGGATGATGATGTGTGTAAGAACTTGGCACTTTAATGGTTGATGCAACTTCTTTAATTAAGAGACAAGACCCAACAAAGCAAGCGATTAGAGATGCCTTCGTGTGATGAGAGGCAAAAAAATTGGGAACCTTGACACAGAGGCCGGACGGGGTCATTCCTCCGAAATGGTGAAAGGTGCTGAGGACCACAGACAGCAGTGTTGGGGCTGGACAGACCCCTCCGGGCCTCTGTAGTGAGGGATGGTGGCCACCCCCACTCCCGTCCCTCCCACGCAGGCCTACGGCAGCTCCTTACCCAACAGCACTGTAAGATTTGTCTCCTCTTCCCCCAAGCCACCCCTGGGTTCTGGGTGCCTACCTCTGGTCACCCCCCAGCACCCTACTCCGCTTCCCCAGGCGGGCTAACCTGAGTGGAATGGAGGGTCCCAGGCAGCGTCCCATTGGGAACTTTCGGCTGCTCTTTTTCCTGATTGGGTGACGGCTGCAGGCTGCTCCTGGAGGTAGTGGCGGTCTTTGGGCTGGAGAAGCTGGTGAGTGGAGTCATCAGGCGGTGTATATAAGAAAGAGCCCTCATCTGGGCTAGACTTGGGACCCCTGCATTAAACAGGACCAGACAGGGGGAGTGAGGGCAGAGCAGAGGTGGCCTGGACTTGCACCCTCCCCTGGTGGCTTCTCTGGCTGAGGTTATCAGTGCTGGTCAGAGCTTAGAGGGGGCAACGATTGCTTCCTCTGAACACCAAGGGGCACTACATCATCACCCCCACTGAAGGTTCTATCCCATTCCCATTTTAGTCTGCGTGGGACATGCAAATGGGTGTCCTGGAGCCTAAGTTGGTGCTTCTGGTCTACCTAAGAGGGATTCTGAGAAGCAACACATGGCCCACAAACACACCCAGAAATGATGCCGGGGAGCAGCGTTGACAGAGATGGGGGTCTCTGAGTGAAGCACTGCTCAGCTCCGGAGCTTGGGGACAGAGGAGAGCTGGGGAGAGGCCCGGTTACCTGGTAACCTGGTGGCTCTGGGGATCATATCCATTGTCCAGAACGGTCTGCCTCAGCAGGCTGTTGGTGTCTCCCTGCTACTCAAAAGAAAGAGAAGAACAGTCATGTCACTGGGGCTAAGAAACTTGCCCGCGTTAACTGTTTGGTGGGAGGGGCTGCTGCTGACTAAGGAAAGCCTGGCCCAGCAGCTGGCCTGAGCAGCTGAAAGGGAGAAGCCCGAGAGGCAGGCTACCCACCGCTCCCGTCCCCGCCCCGCTGCCCCCTGGGCATGTGCCCGGAGTGCATTACCTGCTGCAGCTCCCCCAGGCGGTGCTGCTGAGGCTTCATGCCTGGGCAGCCCCCTGCAGCCGCAGGGCAGCCGCTGTTCACACGCAGTCCATTGGTGTAGGCCCGCCCGTGGATGCCATTGAGGTAGGGCTGTCCGCTGGCTCGGTGGCCTGGGAGTCCTCCCAGTGGCACCATGGTGTACTGACAGGAGGACGACAGGAGCGCACTTCGAGGGAAACCCACATCGGTTGTATGTTCTGGAAGAACAGAAGGACAAAGGTTTGCTTGGGTCAGGGAGGCCTAGGGCAGCTGGAAAAGTCCCACCCTCCCAACCGCATGGGGCCAGGGTGCAGACGGGTGATGACATATCTCAGAGATGAGGAGTACTTTCTTTCAGTCTTCTTACTGTCACCTTCTTCCTAACATGTATCCCCCTCGTACAGTGAGGAGAAGGGTGGGGAGACGGAGGGGGAGGGGCAGAGGTCTGGGGGAAAGCGGTAGTGAGAAGGAGCACTGTTTAGGTGAGGGAGGGGGCTGTGCGTGTTGCCATTTGAAGGAGAAATCAGTGACTCAGTCAGACTAAAAGCGGTGGGAAAAGTGACGCCCAGGGAAGAGGCAGGAAATGCTCTAAAAAAGAGGCGGGGCAACTGCAGTAGGAAGCTGGGGCTGGAGGAGCAGTTTTGGACCCTGGAAGACGACGGAGTGAAGGGGGTACTTCACTCAGAAGCAGAGGACAGGCCAGCTTCAGCTTCTTCACACCCCCATCGGCTAAGGCGTGGAGCCAGGACAGAAGGGCCCAGACCTGGCGGTGTCTTTGACTGGGATCTCAGGGGGACCCAGGAGCTCGAGCGGCCCGTGGACGTGCAGCAGGCACTCCTGGCCCAGTTCTGGACAGAGGCCTCCTTGGAGGGCTGGGCAGCCCTCCTTCCTCCCAGCTGCCTTCCGCGCGGTGCTGAGCGGTGACACTCACTTTGCTGAGACCAGGCCCGCCACAAGCAGAAGGGGATGAAGGTCACGATGATGAGGACGATGGAGCCCAGGACAACTCCAACGATCAGATAGGGCAGGTCGCTGGCGCGCGCCACCATGGCCCCGGTGCCTACTGGTCGCTCCATGGTTTCTGGGGGTGGGGGCTGCGGTGCGGCCAGGGTCGGCGGTGGGAGTCGACCGGGCTGGCCAGATTTCCGAGCTGCAATTGGGGACAACACACACGTCAGCATCTACTTCTGTGACACCTTCTTTCCAGCAAGCAGCAAAAGAAAATCCAGTATTCCAATTTTATAGGTATAGCAAATGGGGGTCAAACTCACAAGATGGGCCTTCAAAATCTGTTACTTGAACTGTGTCTATACTCAGCCTGAACCTCACAATCTAAGGTGAAATCTGGTGTTGCTGAGATCTGAACCTTATACTGCAAAATCCAACATTTTTGTGAGCCAAGCACTGACGCGTGCTGGTGTAGTGTTTTCTGAAAGAATAACTGGTGAACTTTGGAAAGAAAATATTTAAAATGCGAAAGAGCAGTAAATAAATTGGGAGAGGAAGAATTTACCCATAAATTTGCTCCTCCTGGTTTAAAGGATGTGAAGTATGAGGTATTAGAGTGGGCTGCAGAGCAGGGGGGGTCTTGGGACTCAGTGAGACAAACAGCAGTTGGGAAATGCCAGCTCCAAGGTGGACAGTGACGGGCACAGGCGTCACCTGGGTTTGCTGTTGGTGTATCTGGCACTGTTCGCTCCTTCAACCTGGTCTTCTTCCTCAGCTCCCTGCTGCCACAGTCCTCTGCTCTTCCTCTACCACCTGACTGCTGCGCTTTACACTTCTCTTTTCCTTCTGTCCTCTTCCCCCACATCTGCCACCTCTCTGGAGGAAGAGCCGGGCAAGTGTACACAGGAGGATCTCGTTAAGTGTAGAAGGGACTGAGCAGTGCCCATTGTGAGACAGAGTGTGGCCGTCTCAATGACAGAGAAGCACCTCATTTTACCTCTGCTCCAACTCCTTTGTGACCTGCTGATTATGTCCTTTGCCATACACCTGGCTTTATCTCACCCTCAGCAAACAATGGAACTAACGCTTTCTACCCACCTGACTAGTGCGCAAATTAACAATGTGAATACATTTAACATAATTTAGCTCACAGAAAGAACCTAAGCATGGAGTTAGAGGAACCTGGTCGGAAGTGTGCTCTCCCACTTTAACAGCTGTGCAACTTTGGCTGAGTATACTGCTTTCTGAGGCTCAGTTCTTCCCCAGCTCATGAGGTTGTAGTTAAATAAACCAACCAAAGTGAGTATCGGGTGTGGTTGCAAGAATAAAGCACTTCTTATAGAAAGTTCCCAGCTTAAGAATGGGTGCTGTCCTCATGAGTTCACGGAGAAGCTCCTTGAAGCCAGCGTGAGAGCGACCACTCACACTTACGTGAGCCACCAGCAAGGATAAAGGGTGGTGATGTCTGGGGACACTTGGGAAACAGAGTCTTCTTGGGGAAGAGATGCGGAGAACAGCATAGGACAATGACTTTGCCCTACTTTGCTGAGCGTAGCAAGAAAGGAAAAGAGAAAATCACCTTTGGTCTCGCAGATCATCACGTTGCTGAACTCGCTCTCCCCTCCTTCATTGAAGCACTGCATCTTGATGTCATAGGAGGTCTCTGGCTGCAGGTGGCTGATGGAGTGCCAGTACCTATCCCCTGGGAAAGACAGCAAGAGCCATGCATGGTAGGTGGGGGTTGTTTCCTTGGTCCCAATCCCTGATCCAGACGCAAGCAGGGCCGTGGGTCTTGGCTGGTGTCACTGAGTGGCATGGGGGAGGCGACACGGTGGGGACATATTGGGGAAAATATGCTAGCCACCCACCCACATTCCTCTGGCCCCATCCTCACGGGGAGGAAGTATGTGGGCTTAGTGGGATGGCCCAGGTACGTTATGATTGAGGCAACGGTACGGAGCGCAAATGCTTGTAACACACCAGACCCAGGTTTTAAGCTTCTCCAGATCTCACTGGCACCCAGACCTCCTTGCCAGCAGAGGAAGCTCTATCACACCAGAGTGCCTCTCACCTTCCACCATATCTTTCTTGTAGTCACTGTCGTTGTCACTGTCTGTGGGTCGGTAGTAGATGTAAAAGCCGTGGATTGGCGTGTTGTTGTTACTTGCTGGGATATACTAAGGGAACGGAGAAGAGAGGTCGTAGTGGCACAGAGAAATCATCCCTCACAACACTGCTGGGGTGTGGAAATGCTGCCCCGGTCTAGAGTTTGAATTTCACTGGGGCCTCCAGCAAACATTCCTGATGGTGTCTCTGGGATTCTGGGAAGAAGGCTATGGAGATCATCAGTTATTTTGTTTAATCTAGAGGTCCCCAAGCTTTTGGAGACAAGAAAAAAAACTGCACTTCTTCAGACTTCCGCTCCCTCTGGACCTCTCTGTGCACATGAAGGTGAGTAGCTCTGGCTAGAAGGCCAGGAAGGAGGTGGGACGTAACCCAAAAATGGAAACTAGTCAAGGCATCAAGACGTACAGGAGCCCACTAACAGCAGCTCCAGCTCCTGTAACTTCCTTAAGCCCCACGTTCAGGTGCTTGTGTGGGGGAGGCCAGTTCTCAGGAGCACAGGTAGAGGAATGCACAGGACGGAAAGGGCAGAGGCAGAGGCAGGGAAATGATTAGTTCCTGCTCCTGCTCCAGGTAGCGGGCTCCTACCCCGCAGGAATCCCAGCCCCATCTCCCATGGCCGTCGCAGTGAGGCCTCTTACCATCCACTTGAGCATGATGGTGGTCTCATTGACTGCGTCTGTGAAGGTGATGTAGGGGCCCGCCACCGGCCTCTCGTACATGCGGCCGCTGTAGCCTGACACCATGTAAGGCCGGGAGGGGGCGCTGGGCTCACTCTCTCCCAGCATGTTCAGAGCTCGGACTCGGAACTTATAGGAAGTGCCTGGTGAGAGAGACCCTCACTGAACTCAGGAATGCCTTTTTCTTCTTTAACACCTCATCAAGACCCAGCCTGCAGGGATCTTCTGTGCAGCCCTTCCCCAAAGCAAGTTCCCAAAGGACTCCCACGAAGTCCTGTCAGAGAGGAACAGCATGCAAAATGGCTCTGGTTTAGGGAATGAGACAGCAGGAAGGGCCCGTGGGATTGAGGCAGGGTAAACTGCAGCAGGGTGAGCTGCTGGAGGACCAAGGGCAGGAAGAGCCTCCTCTTCCTCCAGATGGCCCAGGGGCAGCCCAGGGATCAGGCAGGAGAGTGGCCAGGCCCCTACCTTTCTCGAGGCCTGTGATCTCCACAGAGAGCCGTGAGGGCGGGATGGCGCTGGTGGCCAGAATCCAGTCTCCCACTTTCTTTAGTTTCTTGTATTCTACACGGAATGACTGGATGGGGAAGCCACCATTCCCCCGAGGAATCCAGGTCACATACACTGAGGTCTCAGTGGCCATGGAGATAGTGGGCCTGTCCGGAGCTTCTGGGGCTGGGTGGGTCGCACACCGTGAGAACGGAACAGAAGAACGGACATCATGAAAGGATGCAGCATTCCAGGCGGACCCGGCCTTCGCTCGACAGAACCTGCTCCCCCAGCCCCAACTGGTGCTTGCATCAGCTCCTCCTACCTGGAGCGAAGGCACCTTCAGCTCCATTTCTGCCAAGCCAGAGCGTGGAGGGCCAGGACAGCTCTCTATGCCCCACTATCGTTGGACCAACAAGTAATTCCAGGGTCACACTTGACTCCCATTTGAGAAGCTCTAACCTATATTTTCTCATTAACTGGGGCAAGGCCAAGAAAGTGTCACTAGCACTCCTGGACGAACAGAACCCAAACCTCATTCCGTCTTTAGGAACAGGCCGGCAGAGGCAGTCGCAGCCCTGACTGCCCAGGGCCCCTGCCCCTCACTGCAGCCTGGGGCTTACGAGAGAGGCGGCTGTGGTCTGGCTGGCTGCTGCTTTGGGGGCCAGCACCAGGGTCATCTCTCTGGATGTGCTGCTCCTTGCTGGCCATGATCTCGGGCTTGGGTCTTCGTCCTGGGTGAAAAAGGGTTCAGACGAGCACGGAAGGTCAGACACATGACAGCCCCTTCCCACAGAGACCTTTTGCCTGAGACTCTGCCAAAGGGCAAGGACATGGTGATGAAGGTAAGAACACACAGCAGTGTCTAATTCCCGGCTCTGTCTGCTCTGCTGGTTGCTGCTAGCCCTTACATAAGAGCGGGGCAAAGGGATGCCAGAGAGGCTGACGGGTGACTCTCCTGATGAGGTGACACCTTAGCCTGGGCACACACACTGCGGGGCCGGGGGCAGCAGCTGGAAGAGGAACGCAGTGCTAGGTAAATAGCTGGGGCCAGGTAAACAGGATTTCCTTGCTGAACCAGCTATAGCTTGCTCGGACCCATAGAAACCACAAGCTGGGCACGGCGCTTAACTTTACCAGTTCGGAAGGTGACCATTGCGGTCTGGCCTTCACCAGCACAGTTGTATGCGGCCATCTCCACCTCATATAAGCTCCCGGGGTCCAGTCTGGTGAGGGTTAGGCGGTGCTGGTTGGCTGGAATGCCAGAGATGGTCCAATCGTCAGAGGAGTTTGAGACCTGCTGGAGAAGACGGCTGGGGTAAGCAACAGCATCTCCATCCAGTGCAGTAGGTGGGCTGTGTCTGGCAGCCGAGCGGAGCCTTGCGAGCATGAGGGCAAGGAAAATGGGCCAGCTGGGGTGCTGCAGGGCTCAGCCTCGCCCTCTGGACGGGGGGGACACCAAACCCACCAGGATGGTCGGGTCAGACTTCCTGGTCCCACCTCTAAGGATCTCATCAAGGAAAGCTCAGCGATGAGCTTCAGAAGGTCTGACTGATATTGCTGAGAATGCCACAAAGACTTCCTCCCTGAGAACTTTCCCAAACCTGCCTATCTGACTTTCTCCGTCTCTGCTGTACTTGAACGAAACGCAGTTCCCTCAGTCCACATTCTTACAAGAGCTGGTGCTGTGAGTGATGACACAACAGAGGCAGTAGAAACAGCGCTGTTTTCTGAGTGTCAATGGGACTGAGGCACAAACGGGGTGCTCTCTCCCTTCATCCTCATTTGTCTGCACGTCAGCCCGTGACTGGGGCCAGCGCTGCTCCCGCTTCACAGATCTGCAGGCTCAGCGGGGAGGGGCGAGTGACCTGCTCCAGGAAACAGGGTTAGGGAGAACAGGAACCCTGACAGCGACAGCGTAACCTGTCCTCGAAGGGGAAGTCTGGGCGCAGGAAGTCCCGAGCTGTGCGGCTCTGAGCAAGCCCCCCTTTCATTTCTAAAATGAGGCAAATAAAATCCCTCGGGGGAATCTGAGGTTAAATCGCACAATTTATACAAACTTCTAGCACTAAGCTTGGCCCTGGGAGGTACCCCGCACGCTTCCAGCCCCTCCCCTGACTGTCCCGCGTCCTCACCCAGGGAGGCTCCTGCCATTTCCGTCCTCTGCTCCTGCCCTCAGTCTTTGCTTAGAACATAAAACTGCTGTTGATCCGTAACTAGGAAAATGAATTCTTAATGGCAAGTTCTCTAATTCTAAAGGAAGAAGCAAGCATGCTCCAGGTCGCCAGTGGTGATATCGCGACGACTTCCTCTCACCTACTACTTTCCAGGACAAGGGCCGGCTCTGTGCCTCTCAGAGCCTGCGGAGCTGAAGCCAGGGCTTGCTGAAGGAGGAGAACAGCTGGTAGGGAAAGCTCTTATCCCTAAGCAGAATATTCCAACGGAGAACAAAACCTGCCATTGAAGGGACAGGGATGGTCTGGACTCATTAATGTCAGGCTTCCAGGATTTGTTCCAAGGGGAGAAGTTTTTACAAACTGAGAATCCCCAGCGGTGCTGGAAACCCAAACACAGTAGCCCAGAATGTGCAGATGCACCAGGAAATGAGACTTGCTTTGTGCATGTGAAAAACTGAATGATTCCTAATTGCCCCAAAGACAAGGAATATGAAAAAAAAACAACTCAAATGCTGACTTTTGATTCAAAATTCTTGGATGATGATATATGTTAGTTCCACCAGCGGGAACAGCCTTTGCCTTGGCAACGTCCACTGCACAACTCCAAGAGCCTCCAGGCTGGAGCCTAATAGGAGTTGAGCCCAGCAGGGGCCCTACCCAGACCCTCATTTTCCTCCTCCCCTTCTCTCCCAGCCTCCCAGTGCTGGTCCCACACTTCCAATGGGCCCAGAAGTGAAAATAAGAAATGCACGGGTAATTAGTCACTGTCACACACCCTGAGAGGGTGAATGTGACCTCAGCCTGGCATTTCCGGATCACCACAGCATGGCCTGTGCCATGGCCTAATTCTTGTGTGAGGCAGTTCATGGCCACCTATTGGCCTGAAAAATATTATTCTTGCTCTCGTGTTGGCTTTTGTCCCTCTGGGACCATGGGTGCTTGGTCTTCCCTGATCTTTGTCTACATCTCAGCTAGAGGTATCCAGTTACACAGGGAAATAAGGATGGGGACCAGCCTTGCCCTGGAATATACACTAAATAAGGCTGTTATGAATGCCTTCACCCCCTTTGCTGGCTGGCTGTTAGAAAGCCAGTGGGCTAAGGGTCCAGGCAGTCAGCCTGTCCATGCCCGAAGTAGGGGCAGCACAAAGGAGTGGGGCTGCTTTGCCATAGAGGGTTTCTGACCCTGGGCACACTTGTCCTGTCCCCAGGTCTTCTAGGAGAGTGAGAAGGGAAAGAAAAGGACAGAATGCAAAAGACCTACAGGGTCCACGGCAGGGAGGCTACTTCTGCCCGCCAACACCTACCACGGGAAGGGGCTGGTTTTGTTTGTTTTTGGAAAAAGCAAAAGTAGATAAATATTTTTAGTTCCCTGTACATATATTTTCTACCAAGTGCACACTGCACTTTTGAAAGCAGAATAATGTGAATGCTTAAACTTAGTATTTATGGTATTCTGCTAGCCATTAACATTTTTTAAAAAATCCAGTTGAGAACAAAAGTTTTCTACTATCCAACGGCCTTGAAAACAAAACAGCACTAATTGACTAACACAAACGGTTTCAAGTTGTTTTCTTACAGGGAATTTCTCCTCCCTGCACAGCCTAGGGAGAGGGTAGCAGCCACACAGGACACGGCGTCCAGCAGGGGCCGGCTCTTCTCTGTCCCTTCATCCTGTCGCAGCCTGAGATTCCCTCCCTGACAGCTCCCATGACACCCCCTGGACAGACTCACTTCTGTCAAGGAGAAATAGCTGAGGTCTGAACAACACCCTGGGCTTGGAGTGCAAACGCCTGCTTGTCAAGCTCCAGCCACGATGGACTCTGAGAACTGAGAGGCATTTTATAGCTCTCAGAGAAAACACTTGTTCACAAATATTTGTTTTCCTGGCTTTAGAGTTGGCTCGCCATGCCAGAGTTCCTGTAGCTATGTACCTGGAAGAGCTTACTTTGGTTAAAAAACAAAACAAAATAAAAATCAACAAAAATAACAGAGGAAGAAGGGGAGAAAAGTACTGTTACAGAAGACTGCTAACTCTGTCCCAGACTAGAGGCTGAAAGTAGTCTCTGGGGATGGGTGCACAGACCTTAGGCCTGAGGACCTCTACCTGGGCCTCTCAGGGCCAGCGTGCTGGGAGGTGGTAGGGACAGGTTTCAGAAGAGACAGGGTATGACCAGCAGTGGGGAGCACTGGAGGCAGCTTCTGGAGCTCCAGGGAGACAGAAAGAGGAGTAGTGACCACGCCCGGCCTCTCGGAGAGGCAGCTGTGAGACGCCAGCCGTACCTTGCGGTGCTTCACCAGGTAGTAGAGGATGGGTGCTCGGCTGCCACCCTCGTGCCGAGGCCGCCACACCAACTCGTAGGAGTCAGTCTTGGAGGTCCGGGGCGAGCTGAGGATGATGGGGGCCTCGGCAGGAGCCGCCTGTCCCTTCTCTCCTGGGCACTGTGAGGAAGCAGGCTGCATCGACGCCAGGGGCCTGGCGAGCCCCGGTCGCTCCCTCAGCCTCTGGTCAGGGCTGCTGGGTCTGGAGGGTGGCACGGGAGGTGTGGCAGTGGCCGGCTCAGCATCCCGCCAGGGCTTCAGGGTTGTGCCTGGCGTCCAAGCAGGAAAGAGGGGAGGAAGAGGATTTAGTGCCCCGTGGATTACCCGCCAGGGAGAAAACTCCAAGTCAGAGAAGACCCGAGGCTACCATCAGCGCTCTCTGTGACACGGTCAACTCTGGAAAAGAGGGACAGCGTCTCTGTCCTGCCAGAAGGGAAAGGCAGCCCTCGGCCCAAGCCTCTCATGCTGCTCAGGGTAGCAGACAAGCACCTCCGGACTTCCGGAATCTTGGGGTGGGGGCAGTGTGCAGGAACCACCTCAACTTGCTCCTGAGGCACAAGAAAGCATGCCTTCTTCTCATGTGTACACTGGGGACTGGGCTGGGGGAACATGTCCTTTCACTGTGGGATTTTTCTTTCACTTTTTTTTCTTCGGTACTGGGCCTAGAACCCAGGGCCTCATGCATGTTAAGCAAGTGCTCTTCCACTGGGCCATACCCCAGCCTCTCACTGTAGGATCTGAACTCCACAGGCCCTTTTCTTCTCCAGAGGTGACCCAGACTTGAGATGTGAAGCCAACTGTGAACATCTTCTGGCAACTAAGAGAGGCACTGGGGTTCCTTCCGGAAGCTTCCACAGGCTGCCAGCGCTGGTTTCTGCTCCACTTGACTTCTCCAACACAAGACGCTGACACAGCATTGTATTCATTGTTTTTCAAATGCTTTCCTTAGTAACTTTAGTTTCCTCCACAGGAGAGTTTTTGTAGGCAGGCTGTTCCTCACGTTGCTCTACATCCCCGGTATTCCCCAGCCCCAGTGCTGGGCACGAAGTAACTGCCCAGTCGTTACAGATGACCATGGGAATGAATCAAGCTGAGGTGAGACCTGCTTCTCTTGTGGTCAAATTTGGTTTCATAGAGCCCTCGGAGCCCACAGATTTGTATTCCTGACTTATTAAGTTGATGTACCTTTGAATTTACAATTAAAAGGCACTTTTATCTACTTCTTTTTTTTTTTTTTTTTTTTTTTTTTTTACCAGGAACCGAACTCACGACCTTGCACTTGCCAGGCAGGCGCTTTGCCGCTGAGCTAAATCCCCAGCCCCTATCTACTTCTCATACTGGGTTTCTAGGCTGGATTTCGTTTGAGGAAAGGGTGATAGGCGTGTTGGCCAGAATCAGCACAGGGGCGGCTCACCTGGCCTGGAGGTCCTGAGATGGACCACCGCGTGGGCACTCCCGACCTCGTTCTCAGCCATGCACTGGTAGACACCTTCATCCTCGGGCCCCACGCTGACCACGCGCAGGGCCCGGCGGGAGAGCCGCAGGCGCTGGCTGGAGGTGAGGGGCACGGCGTTCCTCAGCCACAGCACGGAGGGCGGGGGGTTCCCGCGCACCTCACAGGTGAGCTTGGCACTCTGACCCCAGGGGATGACCAGCTGCGACAGCTCCACGGTGACCTCAGGGGGCTCTGTGGGAAAACAAGAGCAGGGATGAATTTGGCTCCATCTTCCTTTCCCAGGGCCAGACAGGCTGGGAGGGACATGGCCAGGAGCAGCTCCCTCCCCCATCTGGCTACTGGTCTGTCCTAAATACCCCTTGTGTTCTCCATCAGTCATGACAGAAAGGAACTGAAGAGGGCACCTGGACCTTGCCCTGGCATCTAATCATCTCTGACTCCCCAGTGAACCATTATCACTTTTTGGCCTTGACCTTTTGTAAGATGAGTCCTTTCTGAGCTGGGGTACATACCGCTAAAAGGCCATGTAGATCAGGGAGAAGGCCAGGGAGACGCTCACCAAACACCTGCACGTTGTAGAGGATGACGGCTGCCCCAGGCTCTCCCACGCCATTGTTGGCCATGCACCGGTAGGTGCCCGAGTCTTCCTCGCTGGTGGTGTCAATGAGCAGGTTGCTCAGCAGAAAGCGTGTCTTGTTGTAGCCGGTGACACTGGACCCATCCTTGGCCCAGGTGACTTGAGGGGGTGGTATCCCACTGGCCACACACTCCAGGATAAGACTCTGGCCTTTGGTGACAATGACGGTCTGGGCCTCCAGGGGATAAATGATGCGGGCAGCCTCAGCTGTGGAGCCTGGAGAAGCGAGAAGATGAAAGACAGTGGGAAGGACCTGTGCTTCCTGCAGAAAGCCCCCACCAGCCTGCCTCGGGTGGCCCAGCCCCAGGAAGGTCCCAGGGAGCAGGAATTCGGATCAAACAGCCTGTCAGAGGCTTGCAACTTATGTAAAAAGAGGGCGAGTTATTTACTGCTTTATTAGAAACAAGGGCTTCCTTTTGGAGAGAATATAACCTTGGTACAAGGAACTCTTAAAGGCTATTAGAGAGAGATGAGGGAGGGAAATGATTTCAACAGTGCAGGTGATTTTTCCTCTTTGAACTCAGTGTCCGCTGAGGCTGAGGAAGAGATGAGAAGCAAACATCTCCTGGGCCCCCAACTCCACCATAGGGGTGTTGGCTCCAAGCATCCTCCGTGGTGTGAGCAACCCACTGAGCTGCACAAGGCCCACTATCTAAAGATAACAAGTTTTTCATACTGCAAAGTCCCCAAATGAAAATCAATGGTATCAGCAGGTGCCCAGCTGGGGTTAAAATGCACAGAACATATTGAAAAAAATGTTGCTCCCCAGTAACAATGCCTTCCTGGGGGATTTTCAAGGAGCTTGTGGATTGTGTGATTTCTGCTTTATCTGCCAACTAAGGGCACTACCAGGTTTATTTATTTACTTGTTTATTTATTTTTATTTTTTTCAGGCAGGGTCTTGCTATGTAGTTCAGGCTTGCCTACAACTCACTAAATAGCCCAGGTTGGCCTTAAACTCTACGGAATCCTCCTGTCTCAGCCTCTCGAGTGCTGGGATTACAGGCATGTGGTACCATACCTGACAAGTTCAGGGTTTTATAAACCCTGAAACTTATAAAGTTTGGGAGACTCTCTTTAAAGAAAAGAATACAGTGTCATAGGTGAAAATTAGGCTGGAGATGGAGCATTGAAGCTTAGTTTCATTAGATTCAGGGAAAATCCATCTCTGGTGCTGACTCTAAGAGTAGTTTCGTGTTCCAGGTCACGCCACGGAGAATGTGGGGACCAGAGTGAAGTTCTCAGAAGAGGGGACTATCATTTTCACACTAACGGCGGAGGCTGTGGGCCTTTGTGAACCTTCTCAAAGGGAGGAGGTGGGCATAACCCAGGGGCCAGGGCAGCAGGGCAGCATGTAGGTCAGCCACATGGGCATCGCTTGTGTACAAATAGTGTGTCCAGGCTGAGCTCCACCGTCCCGACCAGCACACACATCCCAACCCATCCTGCTCATAAACTGTGAAGGAAACTTCTCAATAGGCAAGGGGAAGGGATGCTTCCCACAGTGCTCTGACGTGACCAGTAAGAGCCGTGTGCCCCTGAGCCAGGCCCAAGGAGGCTGCGCTGTGAGAGGCTGGCCCTGCTGCTCTGCACAGAGAACCCCCTATTGAGTGCCAGACGTCTGCTGGTCTGAGCCTCACTGTCTCCCCACCACACCCAAGCACGAAGAACGAGAGCTGGGACTGTGCCCCGCCTCCGGGGCCCCAAGTCCCTGCCAGCTTTGCTGGCCTCTCCATCAGCAGCACCCCACCCCAGCAGGGGAGCCGGCTTACGGCGCACACGCAGCCTGTCACTGGAGCCGGAGGTTTTTACTTCCTGGGTCACTGGGTTGTAGGCAGCACACTTGTACATGCCCTCATCCTCCTGGCTGGCGTTGACAATTTGGAGGTTCCCTGATGGCATGATCAGGTAGTTGTCTGTGGAAGGGCAGAGAAAGGGGGAGATGGATAATTGAGCCCGCAGAGTAAGGGGAAGGAAGGCAGTGTGACCAGCTCAAGTCTAAAATGCAGTTCTCTTCCTAAAGCCTCGCACCAAGTAGGACAGAAATGTCAGGGCGAGGGACCTTATAACCCACCAGCCAATGGACCGGCTGACTAATGCCCCGGGGAGCACGTTACATCGGAAGAGCATCTCATACTTTCAAGGGAGCCAGGGGAGGGTAGACAGGACGCAGGGGTTGGGGTCAGCCAGGCCTGGGTTCACGCTTGGGGTGTGCTGGATACTAACTGTGTGATCTTGATCGAGTGAATTAACCTTTTGGATCCTGTTTGCTCATTTTTACAAAGGCACAATACTTGTTGCCACTGTAAGGACGGAGGAGCCCCTGCGGTAGATATGGAAGAGAGATGCTCATTCCTGAAAATCACCAGAAGCAAAGGAACTGACTTGGGAACTTTCCATCGATCTCTGTCATAGTCACTGCTCTGAGCCACCTCACTGTTGAATTTCTGAGGAGGAGAGGAACAGTCTGTCCTCCAGCCACTGTCCTATCCATGAAGGCCACTAGAAACCCTTCCCTGCACTTTGCTTTGTCCGCTCCTGTTCCAGGGGTGTGTGAGGTGGGGTCCCCAGAATGTGCTCAGATTCTCTAGGCAGGGAGCAGATTCACCACTTAAGGACAGCCCGGCGACTCGGGTGGCCTTCAGCTTCCTGGCAGGCAAAGCACCGGCCATCAGCTCTGAGCTCCGTCTGGAGGTTCCTCCTGGGAGTCGTGGTGTCACCAAGCCTGGTGCCTGCCTGCTGCTGGGCCACCCAGGTGTGAGCTGCTCAGGCAGCTGGAGTGGAGATGGCAGATGGAGCGGAGCCTGCGCCAGGGGATGCTGCCAGACCTCCGCGGGGCACACAGAGACTCAGGCGCCTCTGCTCTCAGTCTCCAGTCCTTCCTGAGTAGCAGAAATACGCATATTCCTTTCCTAACTAGACAACCTACAGAACATTTTAAAAGATTCGCATTTTGAGTTGCAGGATCAGGTCGAGTTTGGTTAAAGCCCGGCTGACTTGGCCTTGGGGGCCGGGTGAATTGTGCAAAGAAGCTGTCTTCATCTTTTGTTTTGTTTTTTTTGTTTTGTTTTTTTGGTTTTTCTCCGGTACCGGGAACCGAACTCACGACCTTGCGCCTGCCAGGCAGGCGCTTTTGCCGCTGAGCTAAATCCCCAGCCCCTGCTGTCTTCATCTTGAAGGGCACCTGCAATCCCACTGGCTGTCTGTGGGCCACGTGGCTCCTGCCCACTCACTCACCTCTGGAGGCCTCCAGCCACTCTTGTTTGACGCTGTAGCGGACCTGGGCTTTGGGGTGGCTCTCAGGCAGGTGGCAGGCGATGACCGCTGTGTTCCCCTCGTCCACTTCAATCACGTGCTGCACATCTAACTTGAAGTCCTGGAGATCTGCGGAGAGAAGGGTCTCCATGGAGAACAAGAGTGCTACCCCTCCAGGCAGACTGCTACTGCCAGTCATAAGACAGAGCGGCCCTGAGGGCTGCCGGAGGTGCCCTGGGCCCATTCTCTGTGTCTTGTTTCTAAGGATGGAACGTGTGCAGCCCACACTGCGAAGTTCAGCTTGCTGTGTGTAAGGTGCCACGCGGGAGAAGGGTAGAGAGTTCTCTGACACTGAGAGCTAGGGGAGAGCTGGCTCTCCCTGCGCCCCAGACAGCACAAATGTGTGAGCTTGGCTGTCAGGAGGCTCAGCTAACACAGACGAAGAGGATTATGAATTAAAGGCCTCTTTCTCTCTCTCTCTCTCTCTCTCTTCCTCTCTCTCTGTCTCTCACTCTCGCTCTGACTCTCCCTTTCTTCCCCCCATCCCTTCCTCTCTTGGCAAAACTGAAGTCTGAAGCCAGAGCCTTTCCACTGAGCTACAGCTTCTCTTTATTTTTATACCTATTTTTATTTTGAAACAGGGTCTCCCTAAATCACCAAATTACCCAGGCTGGGTTTGAACTCCTAATCCTGCCTCAGTCTCTCAGAGCGCTGGGGTTACAAGCACATGCCACCATACCTGGCTCTTAATTTCTTAATCATGCTGGAACAAGAGGTCCTCTACTTTCATTCTGCACTGGACTTTGCAAATTATATAGCCCCGTCCTAGCTGAGCTTCTCAGCCAAAACAGCTAATCAGTTTTTTCTATCAGAAGAGGAAGACTGGAATTAATGGAAGGGGACTGCTTGAGCTCAGTGTATTCTAGCTAAGTATTGGTAACGCTGCTTTCTGAAAGTAACTCACTTAAAAAATGCAAAAGCTTTAATCCTCCTTCAGGCCATTGTGCCTGTACCTGCCAAGTCAGGAGGCTCCCCACAAAGTGAGCTCAGAGTATCTGGAAAATCCCTCAGGCACTGAGAGGTACTCTCTTCCACGGTCTGATAAATCCAAAGCTGCTCCACCAAGAGCCCTCCCCTCTACCTCATTCCAAGGAAATTTGCCTCAAGCAAAAACAGGCTTAAACCTAGCAGATCATTTTGCAAGAAAGATGTGGGCAACTGAAAGGAGTTTGGCACGGGAATGTCATCTCCATCTCAATGGCCTCGGGCTCCGGCTCAGGCTTATCCAGGCCTGGAGCTTGTCCTCAGCCAGCAGGCACCCACCTCAACCGATCTTGTGCTAGAAAACACCAGGCCTCTTTAAGCCCCTCTTGGCTCCAGCTGCGCCCTCTGACAGCTGCTGGGGTGGAGACAGAAGGCCGTGCAGGGGGAGGCAGAAGCTGGGCACCGGTCAGCCACGCAGCCCAACAGCCCCTCTGTTCTGATGCCAACATGTGCACAACAGCCCGCGTGGGCCAACCCAGGACACCCCAGCTGGGCGTCCGGCTCCCCACAAGGGCCGACTGGCAGGCGAGGCTTCCTGGCTTCAAAACAAATGAGCAGATTTTGGTCCTCGGCTTGTCCCCTCCCCGCTGTGCCTCCTAAGCTTAAGCCCTAGCTGTTGCTTTACTACACAAACACTCCCAACTTGGCTGTCGGGGTAAAACTCAAGCTTCAGGAAAGGATCAAAGGCAGAGTAATGAAGTAACGAATGTTCTGAAAATCAGAGAGCCCCCTTTGCCTTGTGTTTTCGTTGTGGATGGTTTTTTGGCAGGCAGGAGGCTAGAGGGGCGGACACTTAGTGATCAATACAGCCTAATCAGCCCTCAGACGGGCAGATGCAGAGAGAACCAGTTGGCCGTGTATGAAGGAAGGAAGCCTGTTCCCAGGCCCCTGACTGCAGGGGCGGTTTCCTGGCTGAGTCCCTGGGCTTCCCCAGTGCCTCAGTGGGAGTAAGGGGCAGGCCTTTCCATCACAAAGGGGGTCAGCAAGCCTCTGCTACAGACGGCTGGATGGGGTTTCACGGGCGATGGCTTGACAGGACACCTGTCCTTGCCTGCTGGCTGCCGTGTTTGAGAAATCCATCAGAGGAATGTTTTTGCAGCCTCGGTCCTCTCACCTTCCCTCACACTCCTCCTTTGCATCCTCTCTCTGTGCATTCTTACAGCTACTTCATAAACTTGTCAACTTCAGTCAGATGCCAGCAGGGCTAGTCTTGTTGCTTCTCAGATCCCCCAGGCCAGAAGCCCTGGTCTTTGGGGCCATCTCTGAGTTCACTGACCTTCACTTGTCACAGAACTTTGTGCTTTCTGAGAAAACCCCTGCCATTTTAGTCTCCACACACTTCTTCCTCCTTCCTTCCTTCTATGGGCTCCAACTCCAAAAAGAAGATGTCTATTCCGACACGCCACTTCTGTAGTGCTCCTAGAGGCACTGCTCACGGGGATTTGTTTAAACACACATCAAGTGATATGCACTGCGCTTCCATCACATTTAAGGGGTGCATCACACACACATTCTCTTCTTGGGGAAAAAAGAAAGCAAAAGGCTCTTAGAGACACATGGGGTGGCTGCCCTCACCAGGATTCCAGGACTCTGCCTGAAACTACATGGACAGATTTTATCTGGAATCCCATTGAACTTCTTTCTCACCACTTTCTAGGTTTCATTCTTTCTGTATTAATAAGAACTATGAATTAAACTGCAATATG